AAGCATTATCTCCATATTGGGCTATTCACTCTCCAAACTCAGGCAGTGGTTCAATCCCAAATTCAAAGCACCTACAATCAAAGATGGGCAACATGAAATAGAAGGGAAAAGGAAGAAAATACAGCCATCCTCAAATGTCTTTTCCTTGAATATTACAAATTAATTATTTATGTGAGACATTTTATTTGACGCCAGATCTAGGAGGCATGTGTAAGTCTTCCTTGTCCCAAGAAGGATATGATCTTGTCAGGCATCAGAGAGGCACAAAAGTAGCATTTACCACATTTCTTTTCATTAGAGAGGCTTAGAAACCACCACTGATTTAGCTGAGGTAAAAGTACATAGGAGAAAAGTAGAGCTTTGGAGGAAACTTGAAGTAATGAATAGAAACAATTTAATTTAGCAAGGAGGAAAGAGACAATAAGAGGGCTGAGGAGATACAATAGTCTCTATAGATGATTTGGAGAGATGTAGGAAAGCAGGAGACAGGAGTCCTGACAAAATGGGTGATGAGAACCAAGACTGGTAGTTGCATGAGATGGGTCAGAAATTAGTCACCAATATAAAATGGTCATGGGCTCACGTATGGGGGAAGAGATAGAAAAGCCACAGCACTCTCAGTGTGAAAAGAAAGGTACTGAAAGAGATGCTGTAAAATTAGGCAGAGGGGTGGGCAGAAAATCACAAGAAATTTCACCATACTCTGCAAGGGATAGTATTTTGAAAGGAAAGATAGGATTGAAAGTGGCAGTGGAATAAAGGAGAGGGAAAGAGTGGAAGACATTCCAAGCAATTCCAAGATTTGGCTGGCCGAGAAGAGTTTCAGGAAAATATTGAGACTGAAAGTTGGTTAGAAGTGACTCAAGACGTAGTTACAGAAATGAATACTTCTGTTTGCAGAGCCAAATAATTTAGATTTCTAAAAAGATAGAGCAGTGTGAATTACTAAAGGTAGGCTTGCCTGCAGCTTGGGGTATTGTGTAGGTAATTTTGTGGCCCACAACATCTATAAATTATTTAATCTGATTGAACCACTCTTTTTAGGTTTCTATGGAAAAAAACATGTATTTAATTTCTATTCATCTACCTGCAGAAAACATTATCTGTGAATGCATGTCACTTGCCTTTGTAAATGCCCGCTACATCACACATCTCTGCATAATTTATGTTTGCTCACCAAGCTTAGTTTTGTTGATTACAAATAAAAAATCATCACCAAGATGGTGCCTGCATGACAAAATTAATGTGCAATACAATAAAGAATGATTTATCTCTTCTTCTTACAGCTGTTCATGCATTTGAACAATTTTTTAAGCACAAATTCCGTAAGGAAATGTTGCAGTTGAGTAAACAACTCCTTCCCCTCCCATCATTGGGAGGAAGTCCCACTGACTCCAGCAGAAAACAGAGCCAGACAAACCCAAATATTTTTAAGACCCTGACAGTCAAAGAACTGGAAAATTATGTGACTTTGTCTTGGGTCAGCTCTGTCTTGGGTCAGCTCAGTCTGTTTTGGATCTGCCTCATTTGGAACAGACCAACAAGGAGACAGAGGCACCATCACCCCCATAACCAGAATACCTGACACCATTTTCTAGTTTCTAATTTCATTTCCTACAGCCCAGCAGGGACATTATAATGCACTAATCTTCTGCAAGCTTAAAATAAACTGCTGCTTTAAAATTTAAATAACATTTTTCAGCTTATATCCTACTATTAGAAAAAAGAATTGTGAAATGTGGCTTTCTTATCTTCCCCAAAAGTTTAATTGATTTTATGGAAATGGAGGATTGTACCTTGAGCACTCTGGCTGCAAGCTTGAGAGAAGAAAATTGGTTAATATACTGTACTTACATGACTGTAAAGCATTTGGCTTATTTCCACATTCTGAGCTACCATGTTCTTGCTGATTTCTCAGAATGAGAAGTATTAAATATATATTAAAAAATAAATAATTGTATTAAACACAATGGGCTAAAATAGTATTTAAATAATTAAGGTTTATTTTAAAATTATCATTTTTTAATTATACATTTCTAAAATTATAAATTTTTTTATTATCTATAGTGGTTAAAAATACATTCTGCATTTCTCTTCAGCTTTATAGGAGTCTATAGAAATTACTCTTTAATTAACCAGCATTTTAAATATGGACTAGCCAGCATCTAAACCTTAAGCATCATTTTCAATGATCTTGAAGAAAATACAAAGTGATATCTGGTAAAACTTGAAAAGCATGTAAAAATTGGTAGAATGGCAAGTAATAAGGCAAATGTTCTGTAGAACAACCTGCCCCAGCTGGCTAGGTGCTTCATTTGAACAAGACAAATTTTAATAAGGACAAATGCAAAGGCATAAATCTGAGCACCGGGAATGCAGGTCATATTTATAGGATGGAACACTGAAAAAAATTGATTCTGAAACTGTAGGGGGGCAAGCAACTGTCTGTGAACACCCAGGACAATGCAGTGTCTAAATGAACTGATCTGATCCTTTGGAAAGTAAAGGAACATTGAAAAGAAGCAGATTATTTTCATTATTTCCAAATTCAAAAACTCATGTCACCAGTGCTAGAACACTCTGTTTAGTCTGGGGTTTGAATTTTTAAAGACATATGAAGAAACTGAAAATATTTAAAAGTCAGTTAAAGCATATCTTGACCCTGGAAAAACCTGCCTTAAAGCCAGATAAGATCAATATGCTTAGTTTAATCAAGAGAATGCCAGAAAATACTTGTTCAAGCTGAAAGAAGTTCAGAGTAAACCAGCAGAAAGTATGGAAGGATATATATAAAAGTCTTAGGTGTTTAGTGGAACTTGTGCACGTTATGTATACAGAATTCATATACATAGATGGCAAATTAAACTCATAAATAGTTCAATTCTGTAGCAGTAGAAGGTGTTTTCACTTGCTTCCTGTGAATATTAATATGAAGGATATAATTTCTCTTAGAATGAGAGATTGGAAGTGGTAATTTCCCAGAAATCAGGAAAACAGCCAATACCAGAGTTAAGGAGAAGACATTGCCTTAGCACCAATCATGTTCAGACCAGACAGGAAAGACACCTGAAAACAATCAGCACCTGAAAACAATCTGAAGAATATATTTTCTTTTACCATCCCTTCATAAAGGAGGGACAAAGGGATATGGAGCAGGCAGTCAAAGAAGGATTAAGATAAAATCAGATCTGAATGGAGGATGAAACTACATATGAAGACATTGAATGGGGGGATAAGGCGTTGGAGGTGTGGGGTTTGGGTCTGTGGGTTTTTTTAAAACCACAATGTTGGAAATAAAGTAGAATACAGAGAAAGCTGAAAGGATGATTCCTTTAGAACTACCTTGACAAATACAGCCAATATCAATTTTCAATAAAAATTAAATTGCTTGTTTGCTGGAAAATCAGCACTCTTACTGTATTAACCCAAAAAAACCAAAAAACAAAAAACAAACAAACAAAAAAACCCAACAACAACAACAAAAAAGCCCTCTATAAACCTGGTGTGCCTACTATCAATTTCTTATCTCCTTACATACAGGAAGAGAGAAAATGTCCTGTAATATCAGGAGAAGTTTTACAAAGTTTACTGTGCAACTAAGCACAGTCTGTGTGAGCCTATCTATATGAGACTTCAAAAAGTAATTGTCTTTTTAATCAAATTTAATCAGCAAAACTCAACATGTAGAATTAAAATGAAGTGTACTTGTTTACACTGCAGATACCTGTTGCAAAATAAAACTCAGGTGCTTGATTTTCCATAATCTGGAATCTATAAATCAAGATTCAATGTTTATCTAAAAAATGCATTTCAAAAGTGACGGCATCAGGCAAGAGTTCCTCAGACATGTTATGCAGGAAGCCAGTCTCCATTATTTTTCCAGCTATGAATTCAATGAATCTGTGAAAAATAGAAGCATTCCTAAATCTCACTGCAACAGAAAAGATAAATTGCAAGAGAGAGAAACAGCAGCATGTACAGACAGACTGTGTACTAAATGAATCCTCACTTCCTGGAGAAGGGTAGGTGAGCCAGCTTTCTTAAAAATATATTTTTTGAGAAAACTGGAGGCAAGGAAAACTCAGAAGGGTAAGAGGGGTATCAGAAATTAAAATGAACATCCATACATTTTCATATTTCTTCAGACTGCATCTAATAATTCCAAGGACAATCATAATTAACCAAGGATAGATCATTTCCTTTCAAAGTGCTATACACACAGTGACTAATCACCTGGAAATACTTTTAATTTGTTAGGTTTTCAGCATCATTTTTAAAGGTTTAAATATTGTTTATTATTAGCCAGAATTATTCTGTGTGATGTTTCCAAATAAATAGGTTTTGTACCTTTAAAACCTTCTCTGTTAGAGAGAAAAGTATGAAATATTAATCTGTAGTAATTTACTTTAGATTATGCTGATTTTATTTTGTCAGATACATGGTAATATTTATTGCAATAAATAATAATAACAATGTAGGTAATTTCTGCAGGGAGAGAAAGTATGTACAGAGGATAAATCTATAATTATGTAAAATATAAAATGCAATATTTTTAGTGACAGCAGGTTCCATGATAAATAGCTGGTAGGAAGCAAATTGGAAAGAGGAAAGGGAGCAAAGATAAAAATTATCAAATTATTTAGGTTTACAGCAAAACCATTTTCTTCCTGAATATAAGGAAATATATTTGAAAATAAGACATCAGTTTATATCAGTGGCCCTGAATTTAAAGCTTCAGAGATTATTTTTATCAAAAATCATCTCAGAATTACAGCACACGTGAAAATAATTTTGAAAAATATGAATGCGTAAAGAAAATTCTTCTTCAAATTTCACATTGTGGCAATTCCTACCAAAACCAGCATTACTTTCTGTGACTGCAAATTCTGCAGAGCCTTTACTTCTCCCTTTTCCCAGGGATTTTCAAAAACATAGCTTGTTCCCTTATTCTCCTCTCTGAACAAAAAAAGAAACGGCATTTTCCTGACATCAATTTTTACCTCTTCCGTGATGATTTATAAGATTGCAGTTTCCCTTTTATTCTGTCAAGCAGACATCTGTATTCTCATTGCAGCTGACCTCTGGATGCACCGTGGGAAGCAGGAAAGTTTGATACCAGCACTGCAGGGCACCCTCTCCTTACAGAAGCAATGACTGCTTGAGCAGCAGGAGACTCTGTGAGAAACGTCTTAATTCCAATCATTCAAAAGATGACTTCTTCATCAAAATGATCCTGGAGCCCCTGATCTGATTCCTGAAAATGAAAATATTGAAGGAGCAGTGTTTAGTCAAAGAAGGATTTTGTTAGAGCAGATGCAGCAAGCAGGGCCTTATTTTTCTGGGATGTCTCCAAGAAATGAACCTGCAATTCTTTGTAAATTGACCACACTGTTTTATCTCCAAACTATTATTTTAACCCAGGTTAGCCTTACTCTATCTGCACTCCCTAGTGCATTCCTATCAGTTATTAAATAAAAAGGAATAACCTTGGAGTGGTGTCATTAAAGGCATTGCTTCTCACAACATATTTGGAAGTCACACAGCAGGTACACAACAATGAAAGGTAAGAAGGTACGCAACAATGAAATCCTACAATGAAAGCAACATTTTCTGAAAGCTTTTCTTTTGTAGTATATTTAAACAACTAATATTTTAAATTAAGAGGTTTCAGGCTTTCCTTAAAGGTTCTTCCAAGTAAACTGTGCCCAGGCTTTTGGTTTGCTTTGAGGGAAGTTGGGGGTAAGGTGGTTTGTTTGTTTTTTTTGTTTTTAATGGGAAAGTAGAGGCAAGAGCACTCTGTGGCCACTGCAGGAAAGTGCAGCAATGACATCACAGCAAAGCTACCTTCTGCAAAGTTGCAGATCAATCCCAAAATGGTATTAGCTCTAGCAGACACTTGGGAAATAAAAATATCAGCTTGACTTACAACTGCAAATGTTAAAGGCTAAGAAAAAAAGAGGAAACTATAGGGTCAGCTGCAAATATCTGAAGCTGCTGGAGAAAGAATAGCATCATGTCAGTCTGAAGATAAATGTATCTATGGAAAAGAAAATATAGGATAAAAACAGTACTGCAGGAAAACATCACAACAGAATAGGTACCACATCACAGACACATCTGAGATGGAATGATGTTAGCAACAAAACACATAACTAGGAAATGTCCAGCATGAGAGAAATACAGCATGAAATATAATAGATGTGGCTGAAAAATGGAGGAAAAGGAGAAGCAAAGGTAGTCTGAAGGAAAAAAAAAACCAAGAGAGATTTTAGTAGCAGCTCTGAGCATCTGTAGTTTAACCTTTCAAAACAGAACTTCTGAACCTTTCCTAAGAGATGGTAAAAATCATCACTATTTACAGATGTGTACAGTTGTTTCTATTTGACATAGATATTTGTTAACCATGCCATAGGGATATGCAGAGAAGTTCTTCAAAATGAAACACCAAATTCAAGACATAAAACAAAAAAGCTACATTTAAGTTGTTCAGAAACAACATTCACACTCAAAACTTTCTGAAACTGGGTCTTTCAATATTCTGAGGTGCAGAATAATCTTCCTTTCAAAACCTCAATACTGAGATAATGTATGTTTGCATCATTTTTGAAGTCAACACTTCTATTTATCTAAATATTCTAACAAATTAACATTCTAACTGTGGATTTGAGATTTACAGATCAGTTCAACAAATATTTAAAGCAATATTACTTCCATAACTCTGACAACAGAATCAGAATCTAGGATAGCATATCATGCTAATAGAGAAATCCCCCACAATGAGTAATTTAGCTACTTTTGATCTCCAAGTTGAAGACTAACTAAGCGTGTTGCTAAAGAGAGTAGAAGTTGTTAATTATAAACTTCCAGGGACAAGTAGGTATCTTAAAATCTAATTCTCAAACAATGTGTAAAGACATCTAGTTTTGGCCAGTCAGATGCCTTTAGTAGCCATTCTAAAGACCATTCATGTTGCTCTACCATAAAATGTGGAAAATCGCATTTACTTTTGTTACCAATTCTCTGGGAATCAAAATGTCTCTATGAAGCCACAACAGCTGTAGATTCATTCTGGAGAAACCTGCATTGTTCACTTAGAAGATCCTCTAGCCTAAAACTACCTAAAGAGTGGAATACTGAAAGGCACAACATTCTTCAATTAGTTCTGGAAAGGAAAGAGAGGAACAATTAAAAATATTTTATTTCCTGCTCATCTGTTATACCTTTAACTGTGGTGAACTTAAAATTACTCAGAAACAACTTATGTTTCTTTAACTAATGAAGACCTTCCAACTCAACATCTCAAAGCCAAATGCCATTTAAATTTGAAGACCTAAGAATTAATTCAAATATGATAAGATTTCCTTCCTCAGAACCTTTTTGCAGGTTCTGTGCAATACCTGAGGGCTGGCTCTACTCACTGATAGCCCAGCTGACTATCTCCAATGGAATTTTCATGATCTAAAATATAACCAAAGCACTACTTTTAACAGCAAAAAGAAATTAAAAAGCACAAGCAGAAGATCAGTGACCATGACTATTAGTCATGGTCACTGATCTTCTGTACAGCCTTACAAAACAGAGACATGGCCTTATACACCCTTATCTTACACAGCACTGCTGCCTTTTGTAGAAAATGGTACATATCTTTGCAAGGCAGCAGAGCCTTTTGCAGTCTGAGATCTCGAAATAAACAAAACAGTATCTCTACTCTAATATTCCATTTTTCCAATCCTTTCCAATCTTCTATCCATTCATTCTATATCTCACTTACTAAGCCACCAAGCATGTACCTCACTCTGCTGGTGTCATACAGGAGCTTAGTTTGCCATAAATTTTCTCTTTGCCAACATCAAAATGCATGAAAAAGACCAAAGTAGCTAGAGCACCTGACTTCACTAACAGTGCAAGTTCTGCTCCCTTGGTGCAAGGTTATGCACCATCAGGCTGGGGTACAGCTGGACAGAGTTGTGCCTGCAAAGAGACAGAATGCAGGGACAGATCCCAGTCCAAGGAGAAGTTGGGATTTAGGACAGAGAAGCCATGGATTTGCTACATTACAGTGATCCTTGCAATCTTTTAATTTATATCCATAAATCAGCAACTCTTTTGCTTTCAGACCACCATTCTTCCCCACAAGGTATGAAAATATTTGGTTAAATTACTACATAAGGACCTCTGGATTCTTTGCCATTCTTTCCCGAAATGGCTGAATTTTGTGTGACATTCTACAAGGCACTTTGAGGGGTTTTCTTAAGATAAAATGTTAAATGAACAAAAGCCTGTAGAGACTGCATGACCCTGCTTCAGCAGCTGCATTATTTGATTCACTGGAGTTGAATCAAAAATTGTCAGATCCAACAGAATGTTCACAGGCACAGTGAGCTAAAGTTTGTAGCTGCAATTGGAAACATAACAAGCACTTCTTCAGCTCATTTTTATTCTTGTGTTTGGCAGGAAATATCACATGTAAAGGGATATGTGGCAGGGTCTTAACATTCAGAAGGGTCAGCAGTGGAGCCTAGGTGCACAGGGGATTGCGCTGCATCTAATTTTTCAAACTAAAACCAGAAATCTATATCCCTAAAAAGTGAAAGAGTTACCTAAAGGTTCAGATTTTAAATCACCAGTTGGCAAGAGAGCATATATATGAAGAACATTAAAAAATATTGGCAATTCTATGGCAAATTAATGCTGAAAAGCTTTAGCAGATCATGTTAACCTCTTTTCCATCTTTTTTCTGTAACTTCAGCAAGATAGTTGCTTATGATATCACCAGAATGCATCACTGAAATCAGAACCTCCCAGAATAAGTCCTGGGAGATTCAAGTTAGAAGTCAAACTGAGCTTCCTAATCAGTAGATTTCTTTTTAAAAGCTACTTGGATTAATAAAAGAACAATTACTTTCACTCTCAATCTTCTTCTAAATTGTTGTAATCTTGGATAAATAGAGTGTAATGTGATCACCTTATACTAAATTGATTTTTCTATTCTACAGAGCAAAGTGCTTTTCAGTTCAGAACTCAGCAATACATGCAGTGAAGTTATCATGATCAAAATATTCCTTTCAGTATGGGAAATGTGAGACAGGCACAGTATATTGCTTTGCTGTGAAATTCTAATATAAATGTGGGTCACTTCTATATTCAGATTTCTAAAATGAATGTTTCGTTCCTTGCAATAAATTAATTTTTTTTCTCCCCCTTTCCACTGCAGGATTTTTCAAAACCAGATACATTGCTTTTGGAAATCACACATATCCTCATGAGACAGATAAAGTCATCTTATGTTGAATGGAAGTCGGGACCTACAAAATCTAATACATCTTTTGAATCAAATATATGCTCTACTAAATCTTAATGGTATTATGTATATTGAAAGCTAAACTGATGAATCACTGGATAAATTAGCTAGCAAATGCATGACAATATAGTATTTATTAAAATGGATCAGCAATTTTTTTCAGCTCTTACAACCTCATATATCAATTCCTGAAGAATTCTTTAAAAATGCAGGGGTTTTAGAGAAAGGCAAGAGACACAGGTAAAAAATAGACCAGAAATGGGCAATCTGTGTGTGATGACACTGTATGCTGCTGTTTTGCTGGTAGGGTGGCATCATTAGGGCTTTCAAAGAAATGCAACATTGCTATTAATCAGACGTAAGCATTTATCTGGAATTTTACCATTAACAGGTAAAAACAAAAAGGCAACAACTTCCAAAAAATTACCTCATATTTGGGAGAGGCAAACCTAGACCTTAATGAAAGACTCAATAAAGTAGATATATTCACTCAAGAAAGTAAGAATAAGATACGTAATGCACATATTTTTTATTTTAATCTCTGTAAATATTATTTAGACATGGTTTTCAACAACGTAATGACCATTACTAAAAATTACTCCAAAAATCCTTACAGTGAATTCTAACTAAGAGAGCATGTTTCAAAAACTCTGTTGTCACTCTACTTCCGGAATATCTGCCCTGAAAGTTCCAGAAAAGATCTGAGAACCCATGTTCACTTAACTTCCTCTATTTTCCTGGGAAAACTGAAATCTGTGATTACACTGGAATGACAGTTTCCTTAACATCACTCCATTTGCACCATTGTGAGGATTCAAGTATTATCTGTCAGAATAAGTGGTCCAGAATTGATTCCAATTTGCACACCTGTTACATTTTTTGACTTTTAATTAAGAAAACAGGCAGATCACAGAACCACAGAATGGGTCAGGTTGGGACGCATCACAATCTGG